GGTAAGAGATCAACCAAAGGACTTGTATGCATGCATATAAGCATAACCAATGGACATAAGACACTGGGGGATGGGGGAGGCTAGGGGACTGTCTTGGGCGGGGGGAAAAAATGGACACATATGTAATACCCTTTGTAATAAATAATAAAATTTAAAAAAAAAAAAAAGTACATTGTCAGGCCATGGAATTGCAGCTTGTTATAATGAAGTCCACTAACAGTGAGAGATAAGTTGCTCAGCTATAGAGAGCATATGCATTGATCCTCTCTACCTAGGGGAAGACTATGAAACCAGGAACCCAGCGTTTACCTAACACAATGTCTAGTAATGCCAGCAATTATTTAATTCTGGAATCTCATGATAGGTAAGGAAGAGGAAGTAAGCATAGTGAGGTTTAAGGAATAGCCTACTTCCATCTTTCTGTTAGAGGCATCACTATTATCCCAGTAATCCTGGTCTAAATCCTTGCATGCATCACTGACTAATCTCTTTTATTATAAATACTAGGTATTATTGGGGAACCAAAGAAAAATCACTCATTTTTTCCTTCAAATGTCAGGTATTTATTTCCTGTATTTAGTAAGTCAATATTCTATCTACATTCCATTGAAATGTTTCTTGCATCTATCCTATCTTCTGTTTCCACGGTTACCATTATAGTTTGAATTCTCATGATTCCATTAACTTACAATAGTCCCTACTTACTCTAATGTATTCTAGAAATATTCTGTTGTGACAAATTAAAGGTAACATGAAAATTCAATACAAACCAGAAACACTACATTCAGTATTAACTAGGTCACCCCACAAGTAAAGAGTTAACCAAATGGATTTAGGTAAAGTACCTTCCCAAGAAGAGATCTGCACTCTGTCCAATATCAGTTGTAAATTCTTGGTTCTCAACCAATGTTTATTAGAGACACAAAAGACCCTTGGAGATTTGGGGGTTTGAAGGTGGGTTGCTAATATCCAAGGAGCAATTGGGCATTTGTTATGAAAAAAAGTGAGAGTTTTAAAGAAGTTGTGACACTACTGTCAGTTTAGAAGTAAAGCAGGGAACGAGGACAGTAGGAGGAAGTTGGAGACCTAACCCTGGCCAGGAACCTTGTTAGGAACAGCATGGAACTGGTAACCTTCGGAAGAGTCAAAAGCAGGGCCTGCTTATGTAGTAGCCTTCTGACACAAACACCTCAGGCCTATCTCAGGACACATTGCCTGTTCTCTTTATTACTGCTGAAAAAAATTTCATCAATTCTCAAATATATACAACAATGAAAGAACATGCTCATGAAAAATGACTTGTATGCATGCATATGAGCATAATCAATGGATAGACAGTAGGGGGATGAGGGCATGTGCTGGGGGGTGGGAGTGGCCGGAGAGAGGTCAATGGAGAACAAAAGAGACTCATGTAATATTTTAACAATAAAGAACTTAAATTTAAAAAAAGAAAAATTACTAAAATGATTAGTGTAATAATTTTCTCTACTTTCCAAATTTTTCTATAGCAAATGATATATTGCTTTTACAATTTAAAACTTGAAAGATAAAACTAATTAGGTGTAAAATATCAAATTCACTAATTACAGACCCATGAGAATAGGAAGTTCCTCTTGTCAATCATCAGAATCAGCTGGGAATATCACTAGACTGCCTGTGACTCTCTCAAACATTATTGGTCTCATTTTCATATCAAACTAATAGACCAAAATGGTAGTTTGGGTTATAGGAGAGAAGAAAGTAATTTCAAACGATAGGACAAGACAAGTATGGACAGGATTCAGCTGTAGGTGGGTTTGAATACTGAGGGAGATGCTAGGGAATGGAGGAGGGATACAAAAAGGAAGGCAGGGAAGGGCTAAGCACATTTCATTTTTAAATTACACTAAAGAAAAGAATTAGATTCTTTCCTCATTGTCTCTTGTTATAAAATCTCCCTGACGCCAAGAACTCTACACAGTACCACCAGTAAGAGTGCTCATGGAGGAGCCTGGGTCACTTCTCATTATTTCACACTATGCTCTGCAGGACACTAAGGAGCCCTCTTAGGGACTGCTTAGGATTGGAGTGAGAGAGAAAAAGGATGGAGGCAAAGCTCTGCCCTGCCTCACTCATTTTAAGCAGAGAAGTTCTGCTTTACCTGACTTCTATATTAGACTTCTATTTAAGATTTTATAGATGGGAGAAGGAAAAATGGGTGAAGGGTATCAGAGGGAAGAAAAATTTCCAGTTATAAAATGAATAAGTCCTCAGGATGTAAGGTATAGCATGATGACTATAATTAATAATATTATGTTGCATATTTGAAAGTCACTAACAGTTCTCATCACAAGAAAAAAATTTAACTGTGTGGTGACAGATGTTAACTAGGCTTATTGTGGTGATCGTATCACAATACATACAAATATAAAACCATTGTACATGTGAAACTAATATAATGTAATAGGTAAATTATACCTCAATTAAAAATATTGTTTAAACAAAGGGATGTACCACTAAAGTATAAAACCCACTCATTTGAACTGAAAAATTACACAAACTTATATATATATATGAAAGAAAATTAGATTATGAAATTCAAATTGTCTTACTTTTAAAGAGCGCTTAAAACTGTATGACGGGTATCTACCAGAGCCTTCTCTACTTTCAACACGTCTTTTACAAAAAACAATGGCTTTTTCATACAAGAAAAGGTGCCGCTGCATTGGTTTGAATCTAGCAAAATCCTTCATTTTTGTAGCACCTTTTTTGTGTCCAGTCCAAACACTGAATGCACCCTGTATTATCATCTTGCCCAGCTCATTTAAGTTTCCCTAGAATGGAAAATCAAAACTCATTAGTACAAGGCAGAGCTACATTCAGATTCTTGACATCAACATTACAGTGTTTAGCTTGAACTACTAAAATCCTGATGCATAATTGATATAGTTTTTAAATTGTTTCATAACTTCTTACATTAAAACATGCCATGTGTCAAATAGTTACAAAATTACTATGGAGTATGACATCTAAAAGCTTCCTTTTCCCTGGCTTCATGTCTCCATTTGGAGGTAGTTTAGATAGGGAAACTCTCATCTCTTCCTCAATCCTGATTGGCGCATGACACCTACCAGTCCAAGTTTCTTCACTGAGTGGAGCTACCTCTAAAGATTTTATCTTTTTCTTCCATACCTATCCTGGACTAGGACAAGGAGAAATACTGGGACAACAGGTCTCCTTAGAAGACCCAAACATTCCTTCTAGTAGGATCACACAAGGTCTGGATTTGGGGGTAGGCTTTTGGGGACCAAGGGAGTATCACAAATCAATTTGGCTGGTGATCTGAAGCAATTCTCCCCTTAGCATTATTAGTAATAATGCTGACATTTTGATCTCCATTTGTCTGCCTCTTCTTATTTCTCAATTGGTTCCAAAAGAGGAAGAAAGGTATGTGAACATGCTTACCCCCTAAAATTGTAACAACCATTAAAATCTACTTACAACATAGCCATTTATTGCAATCTGATGCATAGAGTCATTAACTGACTTCAGTAAATCCAGCATTGTGTCAAGTGCCACCTTTAATTGTTCAGATCCTTCACAGTCTTTACTATATTTTAATAGTTCCTGTAATTAGAAGTCAAGAATTAGACTTAATAGGAGGCAGATATTAATAGCTGGAGAAAATGAATAAAATTTCAGCCAACATGCTTTCAACGAGGAGTTCAAAGATAATGTCACTTTTTTGAGTACTTTCTTTCATATGCTATTTGTCACAGTAATACCATATTTAATGACAATGTCAAAATTGGAGAAGAAATGGAATATTGCCTAAACAATATAAGGTAAAGGACATTCAATGCTTTCAGTGCTGAAGAACAAAGTTTTTAGGACATACTAGAGATTAGTTTATAAAGCAATCACATTTTTTGGTCCTCTACACATAAAAATTTACTTTTCTCCTTTATTGTTGAAAGTATTACAGATGTCCTCTTCTTCGTTTGTTTCTTCCCCATTGACCTCCTCCACCCTGCACCACCTCCAGGCCTTCACCACTCTGTTGTCTGTGTCCCTGGGCTATACATAGAGCCTGACTTCCCTCTGAAATTCATCAGTCTGTTTCATGCTTTTATGTTTTTGGATCTATTTTGTTCATCAGTTTATTTTGTTCATTAGAGTCTACATATGAATGAGATCATGTGATACTTATCTTTCTCTAACTGGTTTATTTTACTTAGCATAATACCCTCCAGGTCCAACCAGGCTGTTGTAAATAGTAAGACTTGTTTTGTTTTGTTTTTAAACTGCATAGTATTCCATTGTATAAATGAACCAGTTTTGTTTTGTTTTATCCACTCATCTGCTAATGAGCCCTTGGGCTGTTTCCAGATCTTAGCTATTGTAAAATGAGCTGGTCTGAACATAGGGGTACACATATTCTTTCTGATTGGTGTTTCTGATTTCTTAGGATATATTCCTAGAAGTGGGATCACTGGGTCAAATGGCAGTTCCATATTTAATTTTTTGAGGTAACTCCATACTGTTTTACACAGTGGCTGCACCTGTCTGCATTCCCACAAGAGGTTTATTAGGGTTCCCCTTTCTCCACATCCTTGCCAGCACTTGTCATATGTTGATGATTGTCATTCTGACAGGTGTGATGTCATTGTCATTTTAATTTGCATTTCTCTGATGATTAGTGACTTTGAGCACTTTTTCATATGTCTCTTGGTTTTCGTATGTTCACTTTAGAGAAGTATCTATTTAGGTCCTTTGCCCATTTTTTAATTGGATTGTTTGTCTTCCTTCTGTTAAGTTGTATGAGTTCCTTATACATTTTGGAAAGTAACCCTTTATCATATGTATCATTGGCAAATATAGTCTCCCATGCAGTGGGCTCTATTTCCATTTTGCTGATGGTTGCTTTTGTTATATAGAAGTTTTTTATTTTGATGTAGTCCCATTTGTTGATTTTCTCCTTAGTTTCCTTTGCCCTAGACCAGTGATGGCGAACCTTTTGAGCAAGGCGTGTCAGCATTTTGAAAAACCCTAACTTAACGCTGGTGCCGTGTCACATATAGAAATTTTTTGATATTTGCAACCATAGTAAAACAAAGACTTATATTTTTGATATTTATTTTATATATTTAAATGCCATTTACCAACGAAAAATC